ATGGAAACAGATAGAGTCCCAACTAGTTTGTTTGCTAGAACAAACATATTTCAATTGAAAGTTTTTTGGATTGTAAAACTGTCTTTTTTACAACTGGAGAGAAAGCTAACAAATTGCTGCACCAAGAATCCAAAATTATCAGAACAGAGAAAGAGAATAGCCATCCTCAGTAACGTTGGCCCATTGAAATACATTAGCTGCTACAAATGTGCCTTCTAAATTGACAGGTATTGAGTTAAATCTTCCAAATCCTTTACAATGAATATACTTGCATTTATGGAGGTCCAGATATAGAAGATGTAATACATCTATTCTTTTGAATGCCAATTCTATAAGAAAGAGGCAGATCAATATCTTGGACTACACATTAGAGAAATCATCTACTGGGATCCTAATATTTTAAAAAAATGTATTTCCTGTGTGCTCAAAATTCAAAAATGTATATATGATATGGCTCTCTTTTAGAGGAAATTAATTCAGTTGAGATCTTCATATATACTATAGTCTGATTGCAGTAAATTCTGGGAGTGACAAAGAAACGCTATTTTTTATTCTTTATGCTTATTCTGTTTTACCTTTTTAAAGTTCTTTTACATGCAGTCTTGTTAATGTTCTGTGTTTTATATTCTGTATTTTGATAAGGCCTAATAACTAATCAACAAGAGACTGTCCTAATATATGCATACAAAAGTTGGATTTATTAAAAGGTAAAAATTTAGATTTGGTAGGACGCCCAATATAACCAGCACTCTTCATTGCTTTTTTCAGACCAGTGATAGAATTGCTTCAGAGGCTCTGACTGATAAAAATCACTTTCCTTTTTTCCATCCGATGTTCCCCAAACAAGGGATCCAGTACCCAGCAATTGTCCAACTGCTGCTCCATTTTGCATGGACCTTGATTGGTCTCTTTGCTCCAGATACTGAGAAGGGAGAGCATTTCATGAGAACTTTTACACCTATGCTTGTCAGGAATAGAATTTGTGTTGTTATATCACAACAATTCTCAGCGATTGGACACCCAGCACCCCTCAGGGATGCCCTCTCTAAGTGGAAACAAGTCAATGTCTTTGTTCACTTCATAGAATTTGCTCTCCTTTTTGACAGAATTCTTTCCTTTCATTCAACACTTGAAGGTTTGCCAGGACCCATTGAAGGGAAAGTCTGGATCATGACAATGTTTGGACTATATCCAATAAAAAAGCACAGACTTCTCAAGTATATCCATAGCATTTGGAGCTTTCCTCCTCAGTGGAGAAACAGTTGGGAAAAAGATGATGCATATAAATATCGTTTCTTTGTGGAACGTGAATTTCAAGCTGAGTATTTTCACTGTTCTGTTTTAAAACACACCTTCTCTGTCAAAGACCGGAGAAGATGCACCCAGAAAGCCTCACTGGAGACCCAAGAGAAAAAGAATAGAATGCAGATCAGAAATAGTGGTTATACCTACAGTGTCATTAAGATTCTGGCCCATGCCTTAAGTGCTGCATCCAAACCCCAGAGGAGAAGGAAGAAGGGAGAAGAGAGGTTGGGGGTTCCAAGGCTGCAGCCATGGAAGGTATGGGGTCCCAACAAGGATCCATCAAGCTATAAATTCCTTTCAGGGTCTTTGGTGCTCTCTGAGCTTGGTTGTTCAAAATCTTAAGCTCCTGTATTACATCTCATTCTTATTGGAAGAGCACTGCATCCTCCCTTCTACAACCAAGATGTCCTGTATATTCGAAAAAAAACATGTTCCCAGAGTCCTTCTGATTTTAAGCTCCTGTAAACCAACATGGCTCCTTGTTGTCTTTCCTCAAGGCTAAGAGCAGCTCCTTTGATCTCTTCTTCCCCTTCTTTGTTCTTGCCTAAAGTTGATGAAATTTTTTCTGCAATGTCTTCTCCAAGTATGGTTCCTCTAAGAGGATCTGGAATGATTCCACTGGATCATTAATTGCATTATTATCAAATTAATAATATGGTTATTATCAGATCATTAAACTATTACTGCTAATTTATTATAATCAGTAACCATTTTACGTATAGAATAATGTGAGAAAAACTACAAATGAAATCTTAAAGAAAGATATAGATTGTGGCTGCCATTCATTGCATTCATACAATCACGTATCAAGTCCTACATGCTAAAAATTAGTTTGCTTCCAATTGAAATTTACTTATCCACCACTGTCTATCACAAAATCATATTTTTATTTCTGGAAGCTGGGAATGGTTTTTTTTTTTAAACAAGTTTTTATTGTTTTTTTCATTTTACAGACAAGTGCTTACAAAACAACGTGATGGCAGGGCAATCAATTATCCACACAACAAAGTCATACTCATAAAATTCAGATTAAATCATTAAAAAAACCCGTCTCTTTTCCCTTTAATAACATATTATATTCAAATTGATATATTTCAATACAACTAAATCAATCCTATCAATCCTCAATAACCTTTCATCTAAATAGATCCACAAATCTAAGAAATGATATTAATAAATGTTTATTGAATAAGTTAAGGGAAAAGGTAATGGGGAGACTCCTGAAGTGTTAACTATGTACTTAGATTAGAAATATGGAAGATAGTAATTGAAATAAGTAAACTTCATACAGGATCTGGATTTGAAGCTGGGAATGTTTTTAAAGGAGATCAAAATAACTTTGTCCAAGCATTATTATACTCTTTGCATCACAACATCACGATTTATCTACTTTCTTTATTAATGAAAATATAGAAGAATCAATGATCAGTGTCTAATTGTTTTTCATAACTCCCCAATTTTATCAGTAAGATTCAAATTTATTTGAGTGCAATTTTAAAGACAGTTGTATCCACTTAATTATCTCAGGCCACCCAGCACTCAAATTAACTAGATCCCCATTCATCACATCATGAAGCATTTTGTTAATTATGCATAGGGAAGGGTGAGATAAAATGTGGGGGACTGAACCAGCAACTCCATAATAGACAGAGAAAGAAATACAGAGAAGGTCCTCCCTAATTTTTTATACTGTCAAAAGAGGTGATGAAAGATTTGTACTTTCATATTTGCAAGATTCTGTTAATGTAGTCTTAACAAGAAAATAGAATAAAATAGTTCATCTGGTCTTTTTTCCTGTCTGCTATATTTGAATGAAGATTAGCCATGCAACTTTCTTCTTAACAAATCCTTGCTTTCTGGTAATTACCTTGTCGTTTTCAGTTTATGAATATTCTAGTTAAATGGGTTTTTCTTCAATGGATGGGTGACCTTTCCTAAAATGTTCCCTATTATTGACAATTTCTGTCAATTACATCTTCTCAATATACTTTTTGTCAATATACTATGTGATTGAGAACCATTACTCAACCTTTGTTCTTGAATTTTGAAGATAATGGCAACACTTGTTCTCCCAACTCACAATATTTGCATGTTAAACAATCAAAGATTCAAATATTAGAAGAAGACTACATGAGATAAGAAACCAAGATTTCTGCTTTTAAAATTCCTGGATGTTTCCATTCTAGTTCCATCCATTTCTAAAGAAGAAGGAGTTGTACAATCTTTCCCTGCTGAAAGTCTACTTGGATCAAAATGGAGACTTAGCAGCAGATCTAAATGTCATTAGTAAGATGATTCTCCCTGAGGAGGATGCGGTCGACAAGCTATTGGCAAATTTTGAAAGGCAAAGAGTGATAATCAACCATGATGATCTGTCACAGCTAAAGTTGCTCAACAAGGTGGGGAAAATATTGATGTCTCTTCTCTTTTTCCCAAAGCATTAGGACCCATTTCCAGTGGACTTAACCTAGTCAAAAAGGTGGGTTACCTTCACTGAGAATTGAATGAGTGGAGTAAAACCTCTATAATTTTCTTAGATGGATAAGGAGGCTTCAGTTCTATTGACCAAGGTATTCGTTCTGATGCTATAATGCTGAATACTGTTGTAAGCTGATTCAGCTATATCCAAAATGAGTTATGGGATGATTATTATTTAGGACACAAGTCATTGTCATTTACTGTCCCTTCTGCAGTTTAGTATCACCATAAAACTGCGAGAGAGGGCCTCATATGCTGAGGACTTTGGTGTTAATGGCTTAAGGTTCCCTTGTTCCTTGTCTTCAACTATCAAAGATGAAGGCAATTATGTTGACCAGTGCCTGAGTTCAGATTTGGACTGAATCCAGTGAAATGGAATCAAGACTAGATGGAAGTCCTGTTGGTTCTGATTGGAGTCAGAGTTTTCCCAAAATTTCAGGTTCATAGTCTGGGATGTCATAACTATACCTGCCTCTCTTTAACCCCACTGGGATAGTGGAATTTATGAAAGAGGTCCAAGGCTTTCAGTTCACATGAAATAATAATGGCGGGTCTAATGTAATGTTATTTATTCATTGATTGATTAAATTTATTTGCTGCCCATTTCACTATGATAATGGCCTGAAAACTGAGGTACTGAAGCATGACTTTGGTGCAAAAAATATATATCCTGATATCAGAAATAATAAGGGACAATTTCAGCATTGGCTTCTAAGACTGCACTTCATCTGAAAATCTCTTGAATGCAACTGTTTATCTCGATTGTTATCTACCTTAGGACATACTGAGACACTGCAATTCAAACTAATAATAAATATGAGTGTGTATTTCCCTATCACATTGTGTCAGCTACTTGTATTCTTGCAACAGAAAGGATTTGTGTTGGATACCTTTTGTTGAATTTAATATTTGTGGATATTATATTTTAAAATCAAGCACGTATGAAGAATGGAAGTATGCATATTAATTCCACTACGAGCAGAAAAGCACTGGCTGTCACTTAATGCTTAAATCTGTACTCAATTTCATCCCTCTAGACAAATAGAAAGATACTTTTTTGTAATCTAATAAGTCAGAAGAAAAAGGGAGGAGCTGAATGAGGCATCTGCCTGCAATTGTATCTCCTGCAACCATTTGGAAGCATTCAGAGATTTCATATTTGCCTACGTCAAGCCCAGAGACTACTTAGCTAATATTTGTGTCTACCTCCATCTTACATGGATGGTGAGTCCTAACATATTTTCTTTGGCATTTCTTCTTTTTCTGTTTAGTCTCTGCCTCAGTCCAAATGTGTAGAAAAATGCCATCCTGGATTTGTCAAGAAGGCTCGAGAAGGTGAGCCATTTTGCTGCTATGACTGCATTCCTTGTCCAGAGGGGACCATCTCCACTCAGGAAGGTGGGTGTCACCAAAGGGAAATTTTGATTAATATGCATGTTAAAGACACTTGTAAGTTTGATTGTTTTGTTTTTAATATTCATGGTGTCCACTTTCTTCCACAGTGGGAAGGATAAGAAAAAAGCTCTTGAAGGATGAGGTAGGAAGAAGGATGTTGTGAAGTGTGTAGGAAATCTCTTTTTTATTTGCCAGTTTGGATGTGTCGTTCCATATTTATCTTTTTTTAGGAACATCTGAATTCTTTGTAACTTGAGAAATGGTTTTACATCAATGGGCTTTGCTCACCCAAACCAACTTTACTGTACATGACAGGCCAAAAGAAACATCAATCAATCCTTCAATTAATGAGTCAATCTTTATGACGATCATAAATCTTCATAAGCTGAAATATCTTAGTGGGAGGAACAATGGAGGGACAGAAGTTGGGTTGAAGGAGGAAATGAAAACCTAACAGAGAACCACCATAAAACCATCAAGTGGATATTTTCTTCCTACTTTTTCGTATCTTTCCAATTTTCTTTGTTGTTAAATAACAACACTGGGATGTAATCTGTCAAGTCCTGGTGATTTGTATTCAAGATTGGATAGGTATTCTCTTACCATTTTCTTGCTTATTTTGACTTTTGTTTCTAATGTGCCTTTTGCAGTGTTTTTTTTTTTTTGATGTGTTGGGCTAGGGTTTCTTTTTGTGTGAAGACTGATGCAAAGTATGAGTTAAGCAGCCTATAATTTCTTTGCCATCTTCTCTCTTTAGTCTATAGTTTCCTTGACTTTTTTCTTGTTGTTAATATGTTGGAGGAAACTTTTTTTTTATTGTCCTTGATTTCTGTTGAAAGTCTTTGTTCGTTCTGAGCTTTTGCTTTCCTGACTTCTTCTTTGCATATTCTGGCTGTCTGCTGATAATCAGCCTTGGTTATGTGCCCCTCTTTCCATTTTTTGTACTTGTCCTTTTTGTCTTTTAGTTTGTTAGTGAGATTTTTGTGCAGCATGCTGGTTTCTTCCTGGATTTCTTGTTTTTCTTTCTCAATGGTATTGTGCTGATATGGGCTTTTGTGATCATGTTCTTCAGGGTATCCTGTGTTTCTTGGGTTGTTTTCCCCTTTAGGATTTTCAGCCATGGGATCTTTCCTAGGTTCTCTCTGAGCTTGTCAAAGTCTGCTCTTTTGAAGTTTAGGACATTGGTTGGATTGTTTTCTATTGCTAGTGTTTATGTTATATTAAATTCCAGTATGACATGGTCACTTTCATTCAAGGTTCTGGCAATTTCAATTCCCTCTATCACTTCTCTGTTTGTAAAGATTAAGTCCAATATAGCTTTGTGTCTAGTTCCCTCCTCCACCTTTTGGGTGACAAAATTGTCAGCTAGGTTGATTAGGAATCTGATCTCCCTCTCACTGCAGAGTTTGTCTCCCAGTTGATATCTCGATAGTTGAAGTCTCCCATTACTACTGTGGTGTGCTTCCTGCATACATTTATTAACTGGTTCATTTGTTTCTTCTGGCTGGTTGGTTGGCCTGTAATATACACCTATGGTAATGTCATTTTTTTCTCTTTTATATTGATCCATATACATTCCAGAAAGATTTTGTTTTGGGTCATGTGCATTTCTGCAGATATGTAGTGTTTTCTTACATATAGTGCAACTCCCCCTCCTCTTTTTGTAGATCTGTTTCTTTTAAACAATTTGTATCCATCCATCTGTCAATTCCATTCATGGATTTCATCCCACCAGGTTTCTGTTATGCCAACTATGTCATACCCTCCCTCATGTACTATTGCTTCTAGTTCACCCTGTTTGTTCCCCAAGCTTTGAGCATTTGTGTATAAGCATTTAAGGCTTTTATGCCTGTCTGTGGGTATGTTTCCTGTATTTCCTGATTGTTGTTTGAGGTTTTTTTCCTCAACACTGCCTACCTCGTTATTTGGTTTGTTTTCTTGGGATTTGTGGTTGGTTTTGGGTTCTAGAGATTCTAGAGATTGGTCACCCTTCCCTCTCAGTTTTAATTTAAAGACCTTCTGATGAGTTGGGCCAATCTTTTTCCAAGTACATTTTTGCCTGTTTTCGTGAGGTGTAGCCCATCCCTTGCCAAGAGTCCCTTGTGTAGAAAATGCAGTTTGTGATTCAGGAAACCAAATTTTCTTGACGACACCAATCCTTTAGCTAGTGGTTTATTTCTAAAATACTTTTTTTCCCCCTCAGTGGGTGTTGGCCTTTTGTTGGGAGCACTGATGGGAACACTTCTTGTGCTCCTAGCTTCTTAACTTTGTTGCCGAGTTGTTTGTAGTCTTTCACTATTGCACTCAGGTTGTTTGTAGTATTGTTTGTTCCAATATGGAGGAGGAGGAGGGAGTAGTAATCTCTAGGCCTAATTATTTTGGTTAGGTTCTCAGCTACATCTTTGATTTTTGCTCCAGGGAGACAGCATACCTCCCTGGATTGTATGTTTGGTCTACAGAGGGATGATTCTGTTCCTTTGAGGATAGAATCTCCTATTACCTACTCTCGCCTTTCTTTTTTTGGGGGGGGGGGACTGCAGTCTGGATTGCTTTTCTGTTTGTCTCAGGTGTGTTTGTTTATGTGGATTTTAAAGGGATATTTGAGATGACTTTTTTAGGATTATTTGAAATTGTTTCTTTGCTAGTTATCTGCATGTCTTTTTTGAGGGGGAGGTTGTAGGTCTGCGTGTTTCCTTGTATGGGGAGAAATCGATTGCTCAGTTTTAATGGGGTTGCTTCTGGTTGGGTAGGATTGGGCAGAAGGGGTTTGTTTGTTGCATGCTGTTTTTTTCTATGAGTGTTGAGTGTGACATACCTCCATTTGTGTACCTCCAAGGGTTTATCGGTAGGGTCAAATCCTCTGGGAGTTATTTGTTCATTGTTTGGTTCAGTTTCGGTTTCTTTTATGCATTAGGATTTGGCTAGAGTTGCCTCAAAGTTCCTGACCTTTTCTAGTAGAAGTTCAAATAATTTGCATCTGATGCCTGTGTAGTTTGGGTGTTCTTTGGGCATCAGTGCATACATGGAACATGTATTGCATATCACAATAGTTTCAGTCACCTGTTCCATGTCTTTGGTGTTTGGTAGTCCCTCTTTTTGGTTGGTGGTTGTGCTTTGCTGTTAGCTTTGTTTCTAGCTTCCTCTGTTCTGGGTAATTATGGCTGTTTTGCTGTCCTTTCTTCTGCCTGTTCTTGCTACCTTGTTATTTATTTAACCTTACTATTTTGTTAGTTTTATTTATCCTCCTTCTTCCCTCTATTTTTTTTAAAGTTATTGAGCTCCAGTTCCTTTTTATTCTTTACTGGGGGTCTTCCCTCTCTTCCTATTGGGACTTCAATCTTAATTGTTGCCTTCATTTATGTTGCTTGCTGCTCTGGCCTCCTGTTTTCTCCCTTCTGTCTTTGGTGCTGGTCTCTGCTCTGGTCAGGCCTCCATTCAGCTTTCCAGTCACCTCAGCTGCTCTGCCTGCTCTGCTCCTCTTAGCTGGCCACTCCTCTTTAGAAATCTGACTCTCAAAGTCTCTCTTCTGCTGCTGCTGCTGTGTTCCTCCCCTTCCCCCTCAGGTTTTGCCACCTCCGATTCCTCACAACCAAAGAAGGATTGCTGTGGGCCTTTTGTCCTCTGCCGGGCCAGGCTAGCAGGAGATGCGGGAGGGGGCTGCTGCTCTTGCTGGAGAGGGAATGCTGATCCAGTCCTCCATCTGACACAAGTCTGCCCAGAAGGGCTGTGGGGCTGGAAGGAGGCAGGTAGAGGGCTATGGGAGTTGGGCTGTCTCTGCTTTACTGGGCCCTGGGTCGGCCTGCCTTGAATGGGGTGTGGGCCTAGGCCAGTGTTTCCCAAACTTGACAATTTTAAGGCATGTGGACTTCAACTCCCAGAATTCCACAGCCAGCAATGCTGGCTGTGGAATTCTGGGAGTTGAAGTCCACATGCCTTAAAATTGTCAAGTTTGGGAAACACTGGCCTAGGCAATTGTTGAATAAATGCTGGGACCCACCAGTTCGCTGCTTCCAATGGTCTCCCTCCTTGTCTGCTGTTCAGATGCCAGTTCACTGTTCTCTGTTGCCTAGGTGTTGGGCTGCTTGGCTGTGCCCCCGAGCTGACTCTGTTACCAGCTGCCTTGGCTCCACATGCAGCCATTCATTTGCTGTGCTCCTGTTTGCTGGTGTATTCCTGAAATATTACTTTTTTTCCTCAGATACCCAAAAATGCACCAAGTGCCCAGATGATCAATATCCAACCAAGAACCAAATCCAGTGTATCACCAAAAGAATAACCTTCCTGTCTTTTGAAGAACATCTCGGCATCATCCTCATCTTCTTTGCTCTACTCTTGTTTCTAACCACAGGGTTTGTTTTAATCATATTCCTTAAATACTTAGAAACTCCCATTGTCAAAGCTAACAACCGGGACCTCTCCTACATCCTTCTGGTCTCCCTCCTGCTTTGTTTTTTGTCCTCCTTTCTCTTCATTGGACATCCAAGGAAAGCCACCTGTCTTCTCCGACAAACTGTGTTCAGCATTGTCTTCTCAGTAGCCGTTTCTTCTGTGTTGGCCAAAACAATCACAGTAGTGCTGGCATTTCTAGCTTCAAAACCAGGGAATAAAGTGAGAAGATGGTTGGGGAAGAGCTTGGCCAACTCCATCATCCTTTCTTTTTCTGGTGTCCAGGTTCTCATCTGTGCCATGTGGTTGGGAGTTTCCCCCCCATTTCCTGACTCTGATCTGCACTCCCAGCCTGGAGAGATTGTCCTTCAGTGCAATGAAGGCTCTGTCACCATGTTTTATGTTGTCCTTGGCTACATGGGTTTCCTGGCTGCCATTTGCTTCACGGTGGCTTTCCTGTCCAGGAACCTTCCTGGGTCCTTCAATGAAGCCAAGCTGATCACCTTCAGCATGCTGGTCTTCTGCAGCGTCTGGGTTTCCTTCCTCCCCACCTACCTGAGCACTAAAGGAAAGTCCATGGTTGCCGTTCAGGTGTTCTCCATCTTGGCCTCCAGTGCTGGTCTGTTGGGCTGCATCTTCTTCCCCAAGTGCTACATTATCATCCTGAGACCAGATCTAAACACTAAGGAACATCTCGTGATAAAAGCAGGGAAATGACTGTGAAATTGTTTCTTAGGCTCATAACTTTTAGTTATCCATTATTATTGGTTTATCTGTTTCCTTTGGATTTGTTTGGCAAATTATGTTTATTAAAACTGAAGGAAATAAATATGTGAAGTTTGTTAGTTAAATAAAAATTCAAGATAATCATCAAATATATGTAGCGCCATCCCCCAATGGACTGCTGAAGTCCGGGTTCACCTGGCCCTTTTGGCTGCCAGTCCAAGAAGTCCCATACTTGGACACCTTTGCCGTCCCCTCACAGTTTCCAGGATGGCTTTGCAGGCCATATGAAACCACTTTGCGGGCTGCATCCAGACCCCGGGCCTTGTGTTTGACAGGTCTGCCCTAAAACAATATCCTCTCTGAGACCCAAAGATGCTTTTTCACGAGGCAATTGGACTTCCTTGTTTTTCTTTGAAGAGGTTTTGCTTCTCATTCTTGGATGAGAAATGAAATGTCTTCAAAGAAAAACAAGAAAGTCTAGTTACCTCGTGAAAAAGCATCTTTGGGACAATTATGACCTGGATGACTGAGAATCTCCATAGACATCTTCCCTGAGACTTGTTTAGCTCCTATCCTGTCCTTCTTTAAAAGAGCATTTGAATTTTGACTGTATCCCTAGGCATCACATCTGAGGGGATGTGACTCCTAAGGTATACTATGGCAGTTTTCAAGTATTGTGGAGTGTTTGTATTCAGATATCTGCTGTTTTTTTCTTTTCAAATTATTTTAAGTAAATATGCTGGGCATTGTCATAATAGAGTCAGATGGGCTTATAAGTTTATTTTTTATTTATGTTATTAAACATGGATGCTGCCCATCATCCAATGACTAAACATACTTCACAAATTAAGACACTGAAAACAAGTATCACTAGAGTAAGAGATTAGGAAGAAGATTGAAAGGATAACAAAATCCTGTGTAGGAACAAAAAAGAAAATTCACATAATCCAAACAAGGTCATCACTTATCTTCCCAATGTGCTAGGTGAGGAGTGAATTATTCAAAATCTTTCAAAAAGCAGCACTATGGAGGCTTTCTGAAACTCACAAGGAACCTTGTTCACTTCCTTAGGAGTCACCAACTCAAACTTCTCTCAGTCCACACCACCAGATCATTTCCCAGGCACTCTGACTTTTCCTGTAGAGATCAGGACAAATTTGAGCAATTTTATCTTTCATATAGCCTGAATAATTCTCTCAGAGGCCAAGCAGTTGTTTCTGAGGTGATTTCCCTAATCAATAAGGAGCAGGTCACAACGAGAGTGGGAAAATATTTCTGTTTCACTACCCTTATCACCATGAGGTAATCTCTAATGTGGGCTCTTACATAAGTTTGGTCAGATTCCCTTAGGGTTTTCCTCCAATGTTCTCCACACAATTTTAAGATGTTTTATTTTTTGGAGCTTCTCTGTAAATCAAACTACACCCCAGCATTAGCACAGGATGGAAGTGTGATTCAAGGCCCAATTCACCAGTTCAGTCTAGGCCATACCTGGATCAGAAGCAACCTTGCTAAGCATCAACCTAGCATTCAAAATAAAAGCCGGAACCTGGAGCCACCGAAGAACTGGTACTGTGAGTAGACACCAAGGGCCATACAGTGAGGCAACCTTTGAGTAAGATGTGATAAACTATGACCCACATTCTCCCTGTCATATTCAGGATGGTTCTGTCAATTGTCTAATTGGCATTTCCAGAAAAAGAAACTCTTGGGACATGATTTTACCAAGAGTATAATATGTCAGCACTGCGACAACTGAGAAACTAGCCATTTTCACCTTTTGCTTTCATTGTGCTTTTTCTGTTTGGTATTTTTAGATGGAGAAAGGGGGGGGGGAAGGGAATATTTGAACTGTTTCAGTTAGCCATAATAATTGCAACTGTGTGAGAATCAAGGTCAACGTTAGAAAAAGTTTTGGTGGGTTGAAAAGTTGGGAAGAGAGCCCACGTTTTGGAATGATTGGTGAGTGTGATTTATGACAGCCTTTCTGGGGTGGGAATTGCAACTTGTTACTTTGTAGCAGGGGGGAGGGAACATTAGTCTTGGTTTCACCTATGTAAATGCTGTTACTTTGTTTCCTGAATAAAATGTTCTTTAAGGAAGAAATCCTTGTCTTGAAATTCTTTTAATTGGTTTCATCTATTGGAACCATGACATTATACTTTACTAAAAATTTACATTGGCACAGAAGACATGAAACCAGGTCTGGTTTTTTCACTTGAAAGCTTATTTAATAAACAGATTCCCTTGCTCCCACCCACTGTGTTCATATTGTCCAATAGTAGTACTTTTTCTGACAGCTGCAGACAGGACTCTGCATATTTAGTAAAATAACCAACTTCAGAATATAAAGTTTCTTAGTCAAGTCTCAACCAAAAATTGATGTTTCTAAAAAAAAAAACTAGACAACAAAATGTCACCTCGTTCACAAGTAATTTTAAAATCAGCTCCAATCAGGATTCATACATGAAGACCTAATAGAAAATAAAATCACAAACAGGCCCAACTTTTATTATTAGACAGGGTTTAAGAATATTGTTTACTTCCTTGCTATTAGAAGACTGGCAACACTTTAGTTTAGTGCCACCAACACAGAATGTCAACAAACTAGATCGCTCTGCATGATCTTCCCCAAAGTTTTGTGGAGACAAGTTATCACACCGAAGGACAGCAGAAGTCAATTCCCTGGGTGTTGAACTATCTTTGTCCAGCATCACTTTGGGACAAGACCTAACAGGAAAAGACCACAATTACTACACAACAATGCCCCCCAGGGTGGATCTGTGATTTTTCTCTAAGATGCTCTTCTCCATCTACTCCTCTAGAAATAGAGTCCTGAAGAAATTTAAAGTCCCCAGAGGAGAAGTTACTTCTCATTGTAATTTTCAAAATTCTGGTCTCTGGGACCTCTTCTGCTGCTTCTCCAGGGACTGTCTTTGAGGTAAACAACAGACTGAAACAACATGGAAGGGATCTTGCATCAGAAAAGGCTAAATGCCTCAGTCACACACAATGTGGCACCGGTTTTGGGACAGGTAGGTACTGTGTTCTTGAATGTATTTTGTCTCCTTTCCAAGTGAACCTTGGTTTATCTCTGTCTGAATCAGGAAAGTCACTAGAATTTCCACATTATAAAGGTGCATTCAATTCATCTAACTTTTATTGTTCTTTCTTGGAAACAGAAAGGGAATTGATTCAGACCCATAAATTATGGACCTTCTGCTTGTGCTTCTGCTGCTGCTGGTGTCCCAGCCAATCTCTGGAAAGATTAGAATGAAGTGCCTTCCAAATTTTGAGCACCAGGATGAAAAAAAACCTTGGAGCTATTACAGGCCAGGAGACCATATCATTAGTATCATCAACACTGGAACAAAAATATTGCATACAGCAATGTTGCCTTTCAACACAGCTCCTCGTTGTCAGTTTGAGTTGTAAGTCATTCGCTGTGATGGAGTTTCATTCCCTCTATTTTCAGTTCTCATTCTTTTCTTCTTATTTCATTTATGCCTGTATTGTAGGACCTTATTGTAGGATTTATTTCTTGAACTGTTTTGATTTGCATTGCTTCTCTCTTTTGTCTCATTTTGTAGAAAAAAATCTTGAATCCAAAGATGGGGCAGAAAAAAAAGAAACCCTGAAAAAAGTCCAGATTCTATACTTTCCTGGTCTAAGTTATACTTCAATAGCAACTTTGGTTTAAAGTAGTTATTGAATGGATTGTACTTATCTCTGCCCAGTTCATGTCCATATTTTTTACAACCACTCATTCATATTCATTGCCTGATCCTTATAGGAACAGAGAATGACCATATTTTAGAATGGCTTTTCTGGATTACATATGAAACAGCTTCTTCCTGTTCTGATGATTCTATTTTGATGATTGAATGATTTTGAATCCTGGTTACTTGTCAGTTGAAAATTAGTTCTGCCCCAAATAATGATTTATTTGTGATTCTTAACTTTAGTGGAAAGCTATCTCCATGGTGATGGGTAACTATAGTTTTCCTCTGATTTTGGATCAGTATTGGCTTAAGCCTCAGAAGGTTTGTGGAGACAAAGAACATTAAAATTGAAAAAAATATTTTGCTTTTGCTCTTAATGATGATGATAACCTGAACATTTTTGTGTTAGTTTACCTTTTGATAAGTATAGATTACTACGCTACGTTTTTAATATTCAAGTGATCAACAACTCTCCCCGGCTCCTGCACAATCTCACACTTGGCTACAATATCCATGACAACTATTTGAACACACTTTTGACTTCAGATGCCCTGATGGACCAGCTCTCCACTGGAAAAGTCAATGTTCCCAACTACAGCTGTGGAAGGAAGGACAACATTTTGGCTCTTGTTGATTCAGCTACTTATGACATCTCCATCCAGATGTCAACATTAGGAGACACTTACAAAGTCCCTCAGGTTTGTGTGTGTACTTTCCTATAGGTAAACTGAATGGGGTGGTGGGTCGGTATGTGATAGACCACATTGGAACTGAAGAACTGCTTTTCATCATGGCCATTATATGTATCATGATTAGGGATTGGGATCCACAGTGTTTAGGAGGTAAGGGTCAAAGCAGTGATATCCTCTCATGAGATCATCATCATTGCTTTGGATCTTCTGCTGCACATTTCGAAAAGTGAGCAGAGGCTCTGTGCTCAATCGAAGGCCCTTCGGTATAAAAGGAAGGTGCAGCAAAGACAGGAAAACATTTTTTGTGCATAATCTTAGCAAAAATAATATAATCCAAATGTATTATCTCACCTGTAGCTGATTAAAAACACATATGTCTTATGAATTCATAGGGATTGCTATCATTAATCAACCACTTTATTTTAGAAAATTACAAGCCTATAAGCCAGCATGTTATATATATATATTTTTAACCTAATATATATTTACCCTAATATATATTAAAGTCAATCAGATGAAAATAAAGAGCTCTGGGATATAAGGTAAATGGCTTTTTTAATTAATTGCTGAGCTTTCG